TTGGGTGAACCTTCATCCTGTCTGACTGTTTCGTTGATCGGATTCGGTCGAGTCGCGTGTGTCCCAGACTCCATCGTAACACTCTCATCTCCATAACACCGTAGGCTCTTGTTTCCTCGGCCGTCATCTGTTTAGTCTCGGCTCCATAGATGGCGACTGGCTTCACGACTGAAGTGTAGATCTTTGACTTCAGGCGTATTGGTATTCTCCTATCACAGAGAACGCCAGTAACAGATCTCCATTTGCTCCATGCAGCGTTGATTCTTGCAGTGGTGTCGGCCTTGGCATCTCCGTCCGCGGCAAGCGTAGATCCGAGATACGGAAACGTCGTTGCTCTGGAGAGTGGTGTTCCATCGACTACGATTGACGATGTTGTTGCGGTGGTGCACATATATTCCGTCTTGCTTATATTAAGGCAGTTGGCACGATGGTTTCCTACTTAGCCTAAAATGCTAGTAGGGCGCTGTATAGTGGGGAAATGGCGAAAGAACGGAGTGAAACGGTCAAAATCCTGCGAAGAAGCCTCCGTTCTCAGTGACTTGTAAATCGATTTCGGACGAGTTTCCCGTAGGCATCTTACCAATCACCGCTACCGAAGATACGGCTGCATATATGTATGCATGCAGCATCACGGCCGCTTCATACCAATCCTTTGCTTCATAATTTGCTTAGCAAATGAATGAATACGAGCGTCAGGAACGGTCGTCCATTTGTGGGCGGGCGGGCGTGGCGGGCGTTTGGGACGTAAAGTTGTGGCTTGATAGGGCCCTTATAAGGGCACCTTCCTCGGGGAACCGCTATGCAGCGCCTGCCCAGGGTCGCGGAATTCTATCCTGCCAGGAGTATTGATCCTAGTCGTCTTGGGGATTTATCGTGCCAACTGCCTTTAAGCCTGAGTCCATGGCTGGCCAGCTCTCTCTTCCAGCGGTTGACGCGCCGTTCTAATTTCCCTTTGGATCTGTCCATCAGCAGTACATCGTCAGCATATCCCAGCGTCAAAGGCGGCTCTTTCCTGATGTTCCTCGTAGCGTAGTCCATACATAGAATGAACAACAGTGGCGAAAGAGCCGATCCCTGGTGAACACCGACAGCCACCCGGAATTGTGGAGTGTCTCCGACAGGTGTCCGGATAGAGGTTGTAGAGTTCAAGTAGGTCAGCTGGACTGCCTTAATGAGTGCTTCTGGAACTTGCTGATACCGAAGAGCTTCCCAAATGAGTTGACGCGGCACTCTGTCGAAGGCTTTCTCCAGATCCAGAAAAGCCAAATGAAGTGGCTTGTTCCATTCTCTAGCCTTTTCCATCAGACGGCGAACAACGTGGATGGCGTCTGTGGTCCCGTGTTCAGGTCGAAATCCGCACTGCATCCGACTGATGTTAACTATTTCCCTCAGCCTGGCGTCCAGCACACGTTCAAAAACTTTCAAAGTGTGGCACATTAGGCGAATCGGTCGGTAGTTGCTGCAGTTAGCGATGTC